TTTGGGGCCATTTTTGACCATTTTGGGACCATTTTGGGGCTGTTTTGTGCCATTTTGGGGCCGTTTGGCGGCACACCTGTAACTCCAGGTGACCCAGGTGACATTTGGGGACATTTTTGGGGACACACCTGCAGCTCGGTGATGATGCCGTGGGGCACGTCCTCCTTCTGCTCGTGCAGGAAGTGCGCGCTGACGGCGTTCAGGGAGTACGAGCGCAGCTTGTGCTCCCTCAGCAGCACCTGGGGAGCCCAAAACACCCCAAAATTCACCTGGGGCACCCCAAAATTCACCTGGGGCACCCCTCACCTGCAGCATGTCCAGGGTCACCCTCCCAGGTGTGCTCACCACCTTGCCCTCCCTGCGGCCGAGCTGGCGGCTCTGGAACGCCGAATCCTTCACCTGCGACGGGACCCCCCTGACCCGGCCCAGGTACGGGAACGAGTCCACCTGGCACAGGTGAGGCACAGGTGACACAGGGAAGGGCCTGGGGACCCCCCTGACCCCACCCAGGTACGGGAACGAGTCCACCTGGCACAGGTGAGACACAGGTGAGGGGCTGGGGACACCTGGGGGACAGGTGAGGGGCTGGGGAACCCCCCTGACCCGGCCCAGGTACAGGAACCAGGACACCTGGCACAGGTGAGGCACAGGTGAGGGGCTGGGGACACCTGAGGGACAGGGGAGGGGCAGGTGAGACCCCTGACCCCACCCAGGTACGGGAACGAGTCCACCTGGCACAGGTGAGACACAGGTGAGGGGCTGGGGACACCTGGGACACACCTGGGGACACAGGTGAGGGACAGGTAAGTCAGGGATACACCTGGGTGGGGTCTGGGGACACCTGGGGGTTCCCAGGTGACCCTCAGGTGACCCAGGTGACCCTCAGGTGACCCCAGGTGACCCTCAGGTGTCTCACCTGTAACACCTGGGCTCTCTGGATCAGGTAGGGCAGGTCGAAGTTGTGGATGTTGGGGGGGTTTGGGGGGTCCACACAGGTGAGACAAGTGAGAGGTGAAAGACAGGTGAAACAGGTGAGAGAGATGGGACAGGTGGGACAGGTGAGACACAAGTGAGACAGGTGAGAGACAGGTGAGGGACACACACGTGAGACAGGTGAGAAACGTGAGACACAGACAGGTGAGACAGGTGAGGAACACACAGGTGAGACAGGTGAGACACGGACAGGTGAGACAAGTGAGAGAGGTGGGACAGGTGAGACAAATGAGGCACAGGTAGGACAGGTAACAGGTGACACAGGGGACACTCAGGTGACACAGGTGACACTCAGGTGTGTCCCAAGTACCTCCAGGGCCTCTCTCTGGTGTTTCTCGTGCAGGCTGTGGGTCAGGGCAGGACAGGTGACACAGGTAAGGACACAGGTGAGACAAAGGTGACACAGGTGACACAGGTGACACAAAGGTGACACAGGTGACACAAAGATGGGACAGATGTGTGACAGGTGACACAGGTGAGGAACAGCTGACACTCAGGTGACACAGGTGACACAGAGGTGGGACAGAAGCAGGGACAGGTGACACAGAGATGGGACAGAGGTGGGACAGGTGACACTCAGGTGACCCCAGGTGTGTCCCAGGTACCTCCAGGGCCTCCCTCTGGTGTTTCTCGTGCACGCTGTGGGTCAGGGCAGGGACAGGTGACACAGGTGAGGGACAGGTGACACAGAGATGGGACAGAGGTGTGACAAGTGACACAGGTGACACTCAGGTGACAAGGTGTGGATCAGGGCAGGGACAGGTGACACAGAGGTGTGACAGGTGACACAGGTGAGCACACAGGTGACACACAGATGGGACAGAGGTGTGACAGGTGACACAGGTGACACAGGTGACCCCAGGTGACCCCCAGGTGTGTCTCAGGTGTCTCACCTGCAACACCTGGGCTCTCTGGATCAGGTAGGGCAGGTGGGAGTTGTGGATGTTGGGGGGGTCCCTGGGATCTGGGATTTTTTGGGGGGCTCCCAGGTGACTCAGGTGACCCCAGGTGACACAGGTGACCCCCAGGTGACCCCAGGTGTGTCTCAGGTGTCTCACCTGTAACACCTGGGCTCTCTGGATCAGGTAGGGCAGGTCGAAGTTGTGGATGCTGGGGGGGGTCCCTGGGATCTGGGATTTTTTGGGGGGCTCCCAGGTGACTCAGGTGACCCCAGGTGACTCAGGTGACCCTCAGGTGACCCCAGGTGACCCCAGGTGACCCTCAGGTGACCTCACCTGTAACACCTGGGCTCTCTGGATCAGGTAGGGCAGGTCGAAGTTGTGAAGTTGGGGGGGGTCCCTGGGATCTGGGATTTTTTGGGGGGCTCCCAGGTGACTCAGGTGACCCCAGGTGACTCAGGTGACTCAGGTGACCCCAGATGACTCAGGTGACACAGGTGACCCCCAGGTGTGTCTCAGGTGAGCTCACCTGTAACACCTGGGCTCTCTGGATCAGGTAGGGCAGGTCGAAGTTGTGGATGTTGGGGAGGGTTTGGGGGGTCCCTGGGTTTTGGGGATCTCCCAGGTGACCCCAGGTGACCCCAGGTGACTCAGGTGACCCCCAGGTGTCTCACCTGCAACACCTGGGCTCTCTGGATCAGGTAGGGCAGGTCGAAGTTGTGGATGTTGTAGCCCGTCACCACGTCGGGGTCCACGATCCGAACAAACTCCGCCCACGACTGGGGAGAGGGAGGGGCTTCAGACTCACCTGGGACCCCTCCCCAGAGCCCCCAAAATTCCCAAAAAACCCAAAATCCCTATTTTTTACACCAAAATCCCTGGATTTTACCCCAAAATCTCCATTTTTTTACACCAAAATCCTGATTTTTTCCCCAAAATCCAGATATTTTTCCCCAAAATTTCTGGCTTTTTTTACCCCAAAATCCCCATTTTGTACCTCCAAATCCCCAATTTTTCACCCCAAAATCCCCGTTTTTTACCCAAAATCCCCATTTTTACCCTCAAATCCTCATTTTTTACCCAAAATCGGGGTTTTTCACCCCAAAACGCCCACCTGCAGCAGGTCCTTCTCGCTGTCGAAGCTCCTGATGGTGGCTCCAAAACCTCCCCAAAAACCTCCCCAAAACCACCCCAAACCTCCCCAAAACCACCCCAAATCCCCCCAAAACTCACCTGGGACCCCTCCCAGACCCCTCAAATTCCCGAAAAACCCCAAAATCAGGGTTTTTCACCCCAAAACGCCCACCT